ATTTCAAAGACTTAACAGAAAGAATTACAAATTAAAAAGTGGATCTATAGCTACACTCATGTCAGCTAAATGTAAGGATGAAATAAAAGATATTCCCAGATGCAAAAATCCTCAGAAATGTTAAAGTCAAAGATTACATTTTAAAATAATGTTTTGGAATTGGTTTAAAATTAAGGGTTACTTCTGAGCCAGACACCTGATTCTTTTCATTTCAATAAGATACAAAGTCAAAAACACTGAGAAAACAGTTAATGGAGTCATATGCTGCTTGATTTCCCTTTAAAAGCAATGCCCAAACTATATTAATTTGGTTTTAACCTCCATTTGAAAGTAAAAATATGAAGTATCTAAGTGGACTTAGCCATCACAGTATTCTGGCAATCTACTCTATATGTAGAGTATCTGAAGGACTGGACCCATAAATTCATTTTAAGTAAGTGAATTGATTTCTTTTTAAACAAATGAGACAGCCTTTACTTACCAGAGCAATGTAACATAGCTAGTCTTACAGTGAAAGAACTTAAAGGAGTGAACTTACATATATATATTTATCACTCATTCTCACACTGAAAACGAAAATAGCAAAGTGGTATCTGACATACTTATGAATGTGCTCACAAATTTCTCAAAACATTCTACTGCTAGCATGAAGTGAAGGGATTTGGGAGTGGGGATAGGGTGAGTGGGGCAGGATGAGGTTGGTTTGGAGATGTGGAAAGAATGTTTAGGATTACTGAAATTGACCATTATAAATACTTGGATCTGAAAAATGGTATTTTTTAATGGAACTGAAATATGACATTATGGTCAGCTAAATGAAATAACTCAAGTGATAGCCATAAAGAGTAAGAAGAATATTTTCTATATCCTTACTGAGCTAATAATTAAAAACAAAGGAAAACACCTTGTAATTATCGATACATTGGAATTCTATATAGGCAGTAGCAAGGATCAAAGAGCAAGGCAAGATTAAGCCTTTAGAAGTTTTCACATTAGAGAAGCACTGATATTTAGGGATTTTTTAAAAAATATGTATTTTAAAGATGGGAAGTTTCCATTTATCATTGATCCTTTGTTTAGCAAAAAATCATTGCTTCTGTTTTCTTGACTGTTTTAAGAAATTTGCTTAATTCTTCATCAGCTTCACTATTTCCTCTACTGGATCATTCTATCATTACAAGCACTCTAGTAATTCCAATCTCTAAGAAGAAAATCATGCTTGGGGTCATATCTTGATCTTCTTATTTCTCTCCTTTTCTTCATAGCACATTTAAAGAAAGAGCTGGCTATACTTACTGTCTTCACTTTCTTGCCTCATATTCACTACTCTGTTTAATCTTTCAAATTTAACTTTTAATCCCCTCATTGTACCTAACCTTTTCTTATCTAAATTACCAAGGATTTGTAATCTGAAAATGCAGTTGTCAACTTTCATTTTGCTCAACCTCTCAGAAATAATGTGGCATAGTTAACAATTCAGGTCCTAATGAAACATTCTCTCCTCAAGGTTTTTTATGACACCACACTCTTCTGTGTTCTTGTTTTGTTTTGCCTTTTCATTTCTGTTACCCTCATAAATACTCTGGCCACTCCCTTCCTACAATAACTTTCAATGTTGGAATTCCTCAGGGCTCATTGGTGAGCCCTATTTTCTTTTCTCTTTTTCTTCTTCTTCTTCTTCTTTTTTTTTTTTTACAATGCATTAAACCTTAAAATTAATTGTCAATAATCTTTACTTTATGAAAGATTATTTTCTCAGCAGAAAAATAACAAAACATTTATTCCATATTGAGGTTGCCCTCACAGATGCTTCCCTAAGTTCCCTTGTTACTCTACAGAAAGGAAATTGCCCAGGACTGAATGTACAGCACTGTTGAGACAGAAGTCTATTTCCCGCAGAGTCATTTAATGACCTTGGATAGTAACTTGCTATTTATTCAAGGAAGACTTTCTTCTTAGTCATCCCTGTCTTTCTCCTCTTTATATTTTTTATAACACAATAGGACTCCATACATGCTGCTAAAGGAATAAACAACCATGTGAAGGGATAAAGCAAACAACTCAGACTAAGGAACATATTACTAAGTATCTTTTAATAACCATTTATTTTTCTTATTTTCCTGCTTGATCATACACGATACTATTAACTTATTTTCTTTCTTCTGTCATTCTCTCACTCTTCCAGAAGTTATAAGGATTTTCTGTGGCTTTAAATGCCCCCTAGATTCTGACAAGTCCAAAATTGTACATAAACTAGCTCAAACACCTTTTCTGAGTACCACACTAGTATTTCCCACTATCTATTAAACTCTTGGCCATCCTCTAAGGTATCACTGCCTTCTCTACCCCTGCCGCTTCAGAACTTGTTATTGCTTCACTATTCCCACAGTCGCTGCAACAATGGGCTCAAACACAGCAACAATTGCGAGGATAGTACATGACTGGGCAGTGCTTCATTCTGTTTTACACAGGGTTGTTATGATTTGGTATTGACTTGACGGCACCTAACAACAACAACATTCCTCATTTCAGTAAACGACGCTATCTCTACTAAGTCACTCAACCCAGAAAAATCAACACTTTCTTTTTTTTCACTCCCACATCCAAATCCATGTTCAGGTTCTTTTAATAATACTTTGAATATCTAACTAGAATGTACCCACTTCTTTATATCTGCTCTGCCACCATAATCTGAATCATAATCATATCAGTCCTACCTGGAGTACCGCAAGAGTCCCCTGACTGTTCTTCCTTCCCCTCTGACTTCCTTGTAAACCAATTTCACAGAACAGCCAGAGTGAATTTTTACATAGAACACTGGATCATGCCTACTTCATTTTTAAAGCCCTTCCATAGTTTCTCATTGTGCTTAAAGTAAAATTCAAACAAGGATCTATCTTAATCATTCACCTTTACCAAATTCTATTCTATTCCTTATATTCTTTATACCCTAATCACACTGACTTCCTTTCAGTTTTATTGAATGTGCCAAACTTATTCATTCTTAGAGACTTTGTGCGTATTGTCTCTTTTGTTTGTCGTGGTCTTCCCCTCTGATTATATCTGGCTAGCTTCTCAAGATAGATTGCTCACAGTTCATCTTCAATGTCACTTCCCAAGCAAGATATTCCCTGACTATCCGATCTAAAACAGGTCTTCCAATCGTTGGTAGGTGCCACTGAGTTGTTTACAACATGTAGTGACCCATGTGACAGAGCAGAATTGATTGCCCATAGGGTTTTCTTGGTTATAATCTTTTCAGAAGCAGATTGCCAACTCTTTTGCTTGTGGAACCATGGGATGGGTTCAAACTGCCAATCTTTTGGTTACCAGCTGTGTGCTTAACCATTGTGCCACTAGGGCTATTTATCCTTTCTAATAGCATTTGCCTTTTCCTTCCACAGCTTTTATAATAATTTATCATAACATACTTGTTAGCTTGTTTACTTGTTTAATTTTTTAAATGTCTCTATTACAAACTAACTGTAAGGTCCACGGGTAGGTACCATGGCTATTTTGTTCACAATTATCTCTATAGAGTTCTAAGCATAAAACCCTTTAAATATGCTAACTGCTCAATTAAAATATTTTGAATGAATGACTAAATAATTACATAATTTTACAAATAATAAAGAAGTAATATGCATAGAAATGGGGCAAATCAAGTAATGGTCACATATAAATCTTTGTATTTTCAAGAAAAATAAAATTAATAACTAACAGAGAATGCTCACATACACCAAGCACTAGTATAAAACTATACAAATATTAACTCATTTAATTGCCATGATACTCTTATGAAGTAAGTGCTATCATTATTTTTATTTTACAGATAAGAGAATTAAGGATCAGAGAAATTGAAGAGTTTTCAACTATTACACAACTAGTAAGTACTAGAGTGGGAGCTCTGGTGGCGTACTGTCTAAGGCATTAGACTGCTAACCAGAAGGTTGGTGGTTCAAACCCACTGAGGAAGATTGGGCAATCTACTTCTGTAGTGATACTGCCTCGGAAACCCAAGGAGGGGTCGCTATGGGTCAGAGATGACTCTATGGCACCTAACAACAACAACAAGTACTAGAGTTGAGATTTGAATCCTAGAAGTCTGGCTCTATGAGTCCCTTCATGGTGTATAAAGTTAAGCACTTGGCTATTAAAGGTTGGCAGTTCAAATCCACCCAGAAATACCTTGGAAGAAAGGCCTGGTGATCTACTTCTAAAGACAGCACACACTGAAAACCCATGGAGCCCTGTTTTACTCTGAAACACACTCCATGACAACTGCTTTGCTTTAGTTTTTAGTCTTGCTCTAGAAGCCATGTTGTTACCACAATGTTAGATCAATGATAAACATTCTAAAGGCCCCTGGCAAACCAACCACTCAGAACAAAGGTCGGCTATAACCAAGTGGGATGGCTATGAGGGTGAAAACTAGCTGCATATTAGCCTTGACTATAATGTTCAACAAATTCTCTTAACCATTTTTACCATAAAATAAATGATAAAGTTATATTGTTTTAATTTCAGGGAATAAATCCCCACACAGATGAATGATAGCATACAATAATAGGAAATATAATACACTAATGACTTTGGTTAGTAAGCAAGCAATTACTTTATTATCACAAGAACAAGTCCACTTCTGTTGATAAATTGCTTTTCCTTTGAACTAAGACTGCTTTCAAGACTTTCCCCTTTAATAGTATTCATTTACTTTACAGCAGGAGGAGAGGGAAGGTAGGGAGTGAGTAAAGTATATGACAGGTATAGAAGACGACATAGCACATTATCAGGACAAAGCAAATTAACTGCTGACAGTGCTGCTGACAGTGCTTCTTTTGCTTAGGCTCTCCTATTAGCATGATTTCCTCAATCTCTTTTGAGGATCTTATGTGTATTAATGGTAGATCAATGCAAATTTTAGCAAGATGGGCAATTTGGGGATAAAACTAGGAAAAAAGGAAAAAGAAAAAAAAATTTGAAGATATCCCATTACTTACCTGGTTTAGTTTCTTCCAGAGGTTAAGGACAGGAGAAAGCTCATTAGACCAGATTTCTCTATCAAATTTACAGCCAGCTGTTACTGATCTACCCAAGATCCTCAACTGTGAGATAACCTAAATTAAGAAAATAATAAATAACAATGAATAAACACAATTTTAGCCTAACAGGGAGAAATACCAGAGATACAAAAGCAGTCATTTTTTTTACACAAATAACTAACTCAAACTCACTGCCGTCGAGTCAGATCTGATGCATAGAGACCCCTCCTTGGGTTTCTGAGGCAGTATCACTATGGAAGTAGATTGGCCAACCTTCCTTCCGAGGAGTGACTGGTGGGTTTGAACTGCCAGCCTTCTGGTTAGCAGTCAAATGCCTTGACCAAGTATATTTTAAACAGGTTTTAATTCTATTACTTCTGTCCAACTGGCTACATATTTTAGTGATTTATCTAAATAGTTAAAAATAATAATTTTAAACTGAGAAAAAGCATAATACATTACAGGCATACCTCATTTTATTGTGTTTTGCTTTTCTGTCCTTCTCAGGTATGGTAGTTTTTACAAATTAAAGGTTTGTGTCAACTGAGTCAAGTAAGTCTATCAGTGTCATTTTTCCAACAGCATGTGCTTATTTCATGTTTCTGTGTCACATTTTGCTAATTCTCACAATATTTCAAAATTTTTCAAAATGCTACTACCATATAGTGTAAACATAACTTCTACATGCACTGGGAAACCAAACAATTCATGCAACTCCCTTTATTGTGGTATTAGCTTTATTGCGGTGCTCTGGAACTGAACCTGCAATATGTCTAATGTATGCTTGGAATATATTATAATGACTTTTGTATGAAAAGCTGCTTCCTTGCAGCTTATATTTCTATTTTCTCATTTCTCAAATTCGGAATGTTTTTCAGATTGCTTGCTTAAATTCCATAATTTCAAAGTTCTGAAAAATTTTACAAAATTGGCAGTTCAAATCTTTTAAAAAGATGAAAATGGCAAGGAAATAGTAAACAGTATGGTAAACACTGTATAAAATGGTAAGGCAATTTTAACTATTGTTGATTGATAAAAATTATAAATTTAAGTTTTAATCTTCTATATTAATTTTAATTATTATTTCAATATTTCCTCTACAGTCAAGGCTCAAATGAAATAAGTTTAGGTCAATTAGTTAAAGCTTCTCTCCCCAGGCCAATCTAATATATATATATATACATGCATATATAGGAGCTCTGGTAGCATAGTGGCTAAGACACTTGACTGCTAACCAGAAGGCTGGCGGTTCAAACCCACCAGCCACTCCTCGGAAGGAAGATGGGGCAATCTAATTCCGTAGTGATACTGCCTCGGAAACCCAAGGAGGGGTCGCTATGAGTCAGGGCTGACTCGACGGCACATAACAACAACAACAACAACATGCATATATATCCATACATGTATATATATATATATACCACATATATACAACCAGAAGCAAGAAAAACAATTATACCCTATTTATTTAAGACTTCCAGTTCTGTAACTTTATTATCTTTTTTTATCATCAACTGACTCACATTTTCTTTTTTAAATAGTGTTTAATGAGTCATCTTTAAAGAACATTAGTTAAACTTCTTAATTATTTGCTAAGAATGATCCAGAATAACATCTAATATATTAAATTGGATTACAGATATTCATTGATTATTCTTCATAAGTATTTAAACTGAATATTAAAATTATGCTATCTCATTGATTATCTGACATAAATAAAACAAATCTAACTGAAAAACAAGCAAATGTTTTCTTAAGCCAGTATTTTAAACCTCAACATATGCAGCATGTTGACTGATTTTCTGATCTTACTTTTTGAGAGATACAAACTATTTTTTCTTTCTAACAACTTTTGGCTATGTTTCATGTATTGTTGAGTTCCTATATTAGTAAAGTTCATAAAAAAATGTGGGCATTAATCTTTTAGAATAATAATAATAATAAATAAATAAAAACCTCACTGCCATCGAGTTGGATCCGACTCATAGCGGCACTGGTTAAACATCCACAGTTACATTGTTAAACTCAGGTTACATCTAGGGCTTTTGACTGATTCACTAATCTTAAAAAAAATGGGCTGATGCAGTGCTTCATTTTCTTTGTTTTTCTGATAAATTACTTTCATTTGATCTAACTGAACCCTACAACAGCATCTAATTTATCAGCTTTGCTAGACCACAAAACATGACTAGTTGGTAGTCAGAGTAAGTGCTATTTTAGCTCTGGTAACATTTGCTATCATTTACTTGTTTAAATCTGCCAAATGTGACAGAAAACAAGAATACAGAGATGTCTGAAGAAAAAAGATTAAAATCCTTTTTATACAGAATGTAAAAACTATTTTAAGAACAAAATGTTTATCAGCCAAAAAAGGTCATGTTTTCTACCCTGGAAAATTAATACTTGAGACTTGCTTTTCTTAAAAACAGTGTCATAACATATTATAATCTTTAATAAAGAAAGAGGAATAAAAAAGGGAGTTTGTGTAGATAATAAAAATAATTTTATTAATTATAAACCATAGCCCATAATGAGTCATCTTTATTTTTTTACTAAATCTAAAATACATATTTATTTTTTATAAAACACATATAAAATGTTTCTCTATTGTCCATAATGTAAACCCATTATACAATACTTCTTACAATAACACTTCTTTAAAGTGGTAGCAAAGGGGATGAAAAGTTATCACATTAATAACATGGTAACATCAATTCTTCCATTCTCTATCCAGCTCATGTTAGGCCACTAGCTTGCTTTTGAGAATTATAGAGAAGCAACTGAAAATGTCATTTCTATTTTACCTATTCTCATTGCAAAGACCAGTGAGAGACATTTCAAAAAAAGCTACATTTCCCATGAGCAATTGACTTTTTTTTTAATCATAGTACTTTTTTGTTTTTCAATTTAAAAGTATGTCTTGGGGCTCCTCCCATCTCTATCAGTTCAGTAAGTCTGGTCTTTTTTTTAGGAATTTGAGTTTTGTTCTACATTTTCTCCCCTCCTAACTGGGACCTTCTATTGTGTCCATGGTCAAAGTAGTCAGTAGTTGTAGCTGGACACTATCTTGTTTTTCTAGTGTTAGGTAAGAGGAACCTGTGGTTCATGGGACTATTAGTCCTGTGGACTAATTGCTTCCTTGAGTCTTTGGTTTCTTTCACTTCCCTTTGCTCCAGATGGAAAGAGACCAATACTTATATTTTAGATGGTGGTTCACAAGCTTTTAATACTCCAGAGGCTACTCACCAAATTAGTGTGCAGAACATTATCTTTATGAACTACGTTATGCCTATATATATGCTGTTGTTGTTATGATGTGCCATCAAGTCAGACCGACTCATAGTGACCCCTCCTTGGGTCACTTGATACACTCTGAGGCGGTATCACTATGGAAGTAGACTGCCTAACCTTCCTTCCGAGGAGTGGCTGGTGGTTTTGAACCGCCAGCCTTCTGGTTAGTAGTCAAATGCCTTAGGCACTACACTACCAGAGCTCCTGCCCCTGCCTCTCTCTATATACATATATATAAAACTCTCTCTATATATAATTCTGGGAGCTCTGGTAGCATAGTGGCTAAGGCACTTGACTGCTCACCAGATGGCTGGCGGTTCAAACCCATCAGCCACTCCTCGGAAGGAAGGTTGGGCAATCCTACTTCCGTAGTGATACTGCCTCGGAAACCCAAGGAGGGGTCGCTATGAGTCAGGGCTGACTCGACGGCACATAACAACAACAACAAATATATAATTCTATGTAGATATCCCCCAAAACGATGGTCTTCAGCCTTCAGTTCCACGAGGTGTTTGGATATGTTTAAGAAGTTTCCATCACTATGCCCCTATCTGCCCTATTATTTTTATTGGTATATATGTAGCACATACATCTATGTATATACAAATGTCTATAACTATAACTATATATGCACATGCATGTATTCCCACATACCCTTCCATACCTAAGTAGCATACATGTCTACCTATGTAACCATTCACAATAATTTGTTATTACTGTTGTTCTAGAATTGTACATGTTGTAGAATTTACCAGAGTTGTACTGTATTCTTATGCACCTCTTAGTAACTTCATTTACCTTGGGCACAATGTCCTGACTTTAACCATATTGTGTATTGCCTTTCCCTCATCAGAATTAACATATGTCTACTATCTGGAAAGTGATTCTTCCTTCCCCTCCCATCTCTGGCAATCATCAGAGAACACAGCATTCTGTGTGTATACCTATTCTTACTTATGATAAAAGGAGTCTCATAGAATATTTGTCCTTTTGTGATGCCTTATTTCACACAACATAACACACTCCAGGTTAATCCATATTATAAGATGTTTCATGGACTCATCATTATTCTTTATGTAGTACAGTTTTCTATTGTATGTATGTATCACATTTTATTTATCCATTCATATGCTGATGGAAACTTAGATTGTTTCCATCTTGCTATAGTGAATAATGCTGCTATGAATGTGGCTGTACATATGTCTATTTGTGTGTCACTGCTCTTATTTGTCTAGGATATATATCTAAGAGTGGCATTGTTGGATCATATGATATTTCTATTTCCAGCTTAAAAAAAAAAAAAAGCACCATACCATTTTCCATACTGGTTGTACAATTTACAATCCTATAGCAATGTAGGGAGCTCTGGTGACATAGTGCCTTAGGCATTTGACTGCTACCCAGAAGGCTGGCAGTTCAAACCCACCAGCCACTGCCCAGAAGGAAGGTACGGCAATCTATCTCCGTAGTGACAGCACCTTGGAAACTCAAGGAGGGGTCACTTTGAGTGGATCTGACTCGGTGGCAGTGCATATAGCAGTGTAAGGAGCTCTGGTGGTACAATGCCTAAACCATTTGTGCTAAACAGAAGGTTAGTGGTTCAAACCCACCAGCTACTCTGCAGAAGGAAGACTGGGCAATCTACTTCCATAAAGATTTACCAGCTCAGAAACCCAATGGGAGTTTCAATGAGTGGGAATTGAGTCTATGGCTATAGGTATAACAGTGTATAAGAATTCCAATCTATCCACAACCTTGCCAGCATTTGTTATTTTCCATTTTTT